TGCCCATTATCTGTCTGACGCCCTCCTCCTGGACTGTGGGTGTTTGTGTTTTATTTTATTTTTATGGCTGGAGGGAAGCTCTGTAGGAAGAAAAGCGAGGAAAGAGAGAAGGGAGGGGGAGGTGCCCTATAGGAATTGGGGGTTGGGAAACTGAGGAGCTCCTTTATACTGTGGTCAGAAGGGCTCTTCTGACCAGAGAAAACTTGGAAATGGCAGATCTCCAGAGTCAGGACAGACAGAGTGCTCAGGAAATAAGACCCAGATCTTCCCCCCTCAATCTACCTGTTAGTCATGCAGCTTATCAGTGTTGGCTTCCTCCCTTAAAGTATACCCACTGCCTTGGATGCAGGAAGGCCTGCAGGATTGGCTTCTAGTCCCCACTTCATTCTTCCCCAAGTTTATGACTTAAATTGCCTGTTGGCATCCTAGAGCACTGTGGCTTGCTTTAGGGCAAAAAACTACGGGCACAACTACCTGCTCCTATTGCTGTACTGAAGCCTTCCATCCCTACAACTTCAGTCTCCTGTTAGTTACAGTGATGTGTTCAAGCTGAGCTTACCAAAAATTCACTGGGCCATAGGGAAATCTCCTAGACCAAAAGAAAGAAGGGAATTACTACAGATTGAGCACCAGCTCTCTGTGCCAAACAACTTGTGAGAAATATGAGGCTGGAGATCAGAGGGAGACCCTACTCTTGAAGAACTCATGCTCTATAAATTGCTGAATAAATGTTTGTCAAATGGGATTGAATTCAACATAGTCATTCATGTTTTCTGTTGAGTACTGAGTCAAGCACTATACTATGCACTGAGGAGAAAATAGTGAGCAAAACAAACAAAATCCAAGTCCTTGCTGGTTATGAGAAGTTATTAGAAAGACTTAAAAGATTTAAATCCTGGATAGCATGACCTACAAGCAATGCCCTTTCAACTGTAACATACTGTTTCCCATGCCTGAACCATCAAGCCACAAACTATCCTCGATTAGCATTTTTTCACTTAAAATACCTTGATGAAATTGAGGGACCAAAGGTGAACAAATGCAGCAGTGGTACTCACTAGACACTTAGGTTGAAAATGAACTGTACAAGTTGTGGGTAAGGACAGAAGAGAAAAACTGGGAGAGAGCAAGCGAAGGGGTAACATTGTCTGAAAAGAAATGTACTCTACTTGACTTACGTAACTGTAACTCCTCTTCATATAACCTTTATAATAACAATAAAACATTTAAATAAAAATAAAATATCTTGATGTCTATTGAATAAAGTATACAACTCTGTAGCCTGACCTTACAGTTCACCTTTGTACCTTTACAACTATGCCAAGATGGTCTTTATGGTACACTTCAGAGCTTTATTGATATTTGTTCCATTTACCTAGAAAGCCCTTTGCTCCATTCCTGCCTAGTGAACACCTCCATATCCTTTAAGACCTAATTTCTTATGTCCTCTGTGAACACATTTCCAGTTTCCTGATGGAATTTACTCCCTCTTCACACATCTATTCTAAGTACCTTTAGGGTACTGGATACTGTGATGGAGCTTACCATGACTTTTTTTTTCCTATTGATAATCCTCTCTGGGCTGTTGATACTTTGATACTAGTATGTATTTTTGGGGGGAGAGGGGCATGCCAGGTGCTGATACTGATGATTGAACTCAGGGCCTCACACTTTTGGCTTGGCTTTTTCACTTAAGGCTGGCACCCTTTCACTTGATCCGCAGCTTCACTTCCAAATTTTTGCTAGAGAGTAAAAAGTTTCACAGACTTTTCTGCCTATGTTGGCTTCAAAACAGGATCCTTTCATCTCAGCCTCCTGAATAGTTAGGATTACCAGGAGATAGTATATTTGTTTTAAGTAGTTGTACAAAGTTAGAGTCTGAGTACAATGCATCTTGATTGTCACTCCTTCCATCATTCTCCCCTCTTTCTCAATCCTGTGAAATTCTATGTATGGGGCTCGAACTCAGGGCCTGAGCACTGTCCCTGAGCTTTTTCGATTAAGGCTAGCCACAACACAACTTCCAGTTTTCTGGTCGCTAATTGGAGATAAGAGTCTCACGGACATTACTACCTGGGCTGGTTTCGAACCATGATCCTCAGATCTCAGCCTCCCGAGAGCTAGGATGATAGATGTGAGCCACCAGCACCCGGCTGAAAGTATGTATTTTTTTAAAAGTACTTTTATTGAGATATAATTCACATACCATACAGTTCACACATTTAACATGTACAATTTTTTTTGGTTGGTTGTGGGGCTTGAACTCGGCTGGGTGCTGTTCCTCAGCTCTTCCGCTCAAGTACAGTGCTCTACCACTTGAATTACAACGCCACTTCTGGTTTTCTGGTGTTTCGTTGGAGATAAGAGTCTCACGGACTTTCCTGCCATGCTGGTTTGAACTGTGATCCTCAGATCTCAGCCTCCTAAGTAGCTAGGAGGCGTGAGCCACCAGCATCGGCTAACATGTACAATTTATTTTAGTATATTAATAGAGTTGTATAGCTACCATTATCCTCTAAGTTTAGAACACTTTGTCCCCCTTAAGTTCCATCAGCAGTCACTTCCTGTTTCTCTCCCTAAAACACACTGGCCCTAAGGAATCTCTATAGATTTGCCTATTCTGGCAATTCTTTACATGTGGTCTTTTGTGACTCTTATTTTCTTCTGTCTAGCATAATTTTCAAGGTTCATTCATGTTGTACCATGTATCAATCAGTCCTTTACTAATGCTGAATAAAATTCTGTTATATGGGAATATTCTTTATTCACTTGTCAATTGATAGACATTTGAATTTCCCCCCACTTTTTGGTTGTTATGGGTAATTCTGCAAACATTCATATTCAAGTTCACATTATTGATTTTGGTGTTTTTTTTTTTAAGGTCTGTCTATCTTAGTATATTATGATGTTTGTAAAAACAGGAGTTACTTCTGTATCCTCACAACTTAGCTCATGGGTAGTACTCAGTAAATGTCAGTGAATAAAAACACAGATGCTGGCCTGATGTTGATGGCTCATGCCTGTAACCCTACCTACTCAGGAGGATGAGATCTGAGAATCATGGTTTGAAACTAGCCCAAGCAGGAAAGGCTTATCTCCAATTACCCACCAAAAAAGCCAGAAGAGGAGCTTGGCTCAAGTGTTAGAGTGCTAGCCTTGTTGCAAAAAAGCCCAGGGACAGCACCCAGACCCTAAATTCAAGCCTCAGGACTATCTCTCTCTCTCGCCCTCCCTTTCTCTCTCTCTTTCCCTCTCTGCTTCTCTCCCCCCCTCTCTCTCTTTCCCTCTCTCTCTCTCCCTCTCTCTTTCTCTCTCTCCCCCTCTGTCTTCCTCTCTCTCTCGCTCTTCCCTCCTTTCTCTGCTCTCCCTCTCTTGCTCTCTTCCTATCGCCTTCCTCCCTCTCTATCCCTTCTCTTCTCCCGTCTTCCCCATCTCCCCCTCTCTGCCCCCCCCAATACACACACACACACACACACACACACACACACACACACACACAATCCTTTTACCCTTCAGGATGAAATAGCAAAATTTTTGAACCATTTTAATCCCAGGCCCTCTCTGCAATAGTATAACAGCACATCAAGTTCACTTCAGTATCCCTTTTTTTTTTTTTTTTGTTGGTTGTGGGGCTTGAACTCTGGGCTTGGGTGCTATCCCTGCATTCTTCAGCTCAAGGCAAGCGCTCTACCGCTTGAGCCACAGCGCCACTTCTGGTTTTCTGGTGGTTTATTGGAGATAAGAGTCTCACAGACTTTTCTGCCCAGGCAGGCTTTGAACCGTGACCCTCAGATCTCAGCCTCCTGAGTAGCTAGGATTACAGGTGTGAGCCACTGATGCCCAGCTCACTTCAGTACCCTTGAGCTCTTCATTCCACTGTTGGCCTCTCAAGTTCTTGCCTAACATGGTGGTAGGAGAAACTTCTCTGAATTGCCTCTAGGGTAGCAAACATGGCCTCTAGCTGACTGCACATAAACTCTACTATTCTCTCTTCTTCCCTCTTCTGAGAGGCCCTGGATTGTTTTATGCACAGAGAGCTGTTCTGTGCAAAGACCCTAAAGGAAGGAGTACTGGGCTAGACTAGGCCTCTTTGCTCAAGGACAGGCTGGCAGCCGGGCGCAGGTGGCTCACGCCTGTAATCCTAGCTACTAAGGAGGCTGAGATCTGAGGATCACAGTTCAAAGCCATCCCGGGCAGAAAAGTCCGTGAGACTCTTATCTCCAATAAACTACCCAAAAACTGGAAGTGGCACTGTGGCTCAGGCAGTAGAGTGCTCGCCTTGAGCTGAAGAGCACAGGGACAGCGCCTAGGCCCAGAGTTCAAGCCCCACAACTGACAAAAAAAAAAAAAAAGGACAGGCTGGCTTTTTAATAGTTTCTGCTGCCTGGATAGCCAAGGAGAAGAGGCTACCCCTGCCGTCCCAGTTAGTTAGCTGATAGAAATCAAGTCCTTGGAAGAAAAGGGACTTTGCGGACCAATAGCTTCTGAGAGACTAGTAAAGCCAATATTTCTCTTTTGTTTGCACTTATTCAACCTAATAGTTTGAGCCCATAATTAGAATTGGGCTTTCTTAGGCTAATTAGGAGGTAGAAATGATGGCAGGAGAGCATGTGAAGATGCATCAGGATAGTGGGCAGTAAATCTAGGGTTTTAATAGGTTTGTTCCGTAATCGGGTAGTTTAGAAGGCTGACTGGATAACTGGGCCCCCTCCCCTTCCTTTTGCTCCCACCACTCCTTGAAGTGGCCTTCACACTTTGCTGTCCTTGTCTTTAATACTGGCAGTGACTCTGGGATATGGGGACTCAAGGAGGGAGGAAACCCCACCCGGAGCTTCATTGCCTATGCACGCGCCGTCCAGCCTGGCGGCATGATTACCTTGCTGAGAAATCCGTCCAGGCACGGGGCTGCTGATAGCAATCATTGATTAAGAGGGTAATTGTCCTGAAAATTCAGATTGATCAGAAGGCAGAAATGATAACTTGTGTAACTGTGTTTAAAGCCACGTCCTGTCAATAGAAGAGACGGAGATGTATCGCGCCAAGAGGGGGGCAGAACGGATGGGTGTGTGCAGGCAGGCGGGTGTTGCCATCCTTCTCTCGGGGTGAGCAGGATGTTTCTTGTCAGTAACCTGGACTATTGGAGATTCAATCACTTTTATCTCCCCCTCTCTCTCAATCCAAATGCCTTTTCATATTAGGAAATTAGAATCGGCCCTGCTCATGCAAGATTTATTAGCTCTGCTGAGCAGTCGCACTGAAGAGTAAATGATTTTGCTTTGCTGGAGCTTTTTACGCGTTAGGACCCAACTTCTCCTCTTACTCTGGCTACTGGCTGCCTGGAGGAGTGAGCTCTAGAACCAGCTACTTAGGGCAAAAAGGAAAGTATCTCTGGGGTATGGCTTCTTAATCTACCAGAAACCACTTAGTGTGTGGCTGACTTCCTTTCTGGTCCCTAACAGGTCCCATATTAGGGTCTTTGGCTGTTTCTATAACTGAAGGGCAATGATCCCCTGAGGTTTATTCCTCAAACATGCAGTGAAGTCTCACTTCTGGGGGGAAAGCGTTCAAAGAAGCCTAAAGAGGTTGGAAGATGGGGCTGGAGCCATGGCTCAGTTGGCAGAGCACCAGCCACTGAATGAAAGTGTCAGGTACTGAGTTCGAGCACTGAACTTGGACCTAAAAAAAACTTGGAAGAAGCAAAGAGGAAGAAGCAAAAGTGTATGTGAGGTAAGGACTAACAATGGAGACAGAGGATAGAAGGTCTGGCAGGCTTGGGCTTGTCTTTCTGTGAAAGTCAGGTCTGTATGAAATGAAGCATCTTTCAGAAACCCTAGAAAAGCTGTCCTGTAAGTTGCCTGGCTCCTTGCAGATGGAATCCATAGATACAGGCAGGCAGAAGGATTGACAGTGGCTGATGCTATCTCTTAGGGTCAGGTCCATGTTTCTGGAACTTTATTGTGACCTCGGGCTTTGAGGAAACGTGGGCCCATATAGCCACCAGTTGGGCTCTCATCACCCAAGGCTAGGGCACTAGTAGGCCAGGTTGGCTGCAGAAAATACTAATCCTCATCAGTGAAACAGTATAATTTTCTCTTCTTCTCACCCTTCTTCTTCATCATCTCTTCCCCACCTCCTTGGGTCCCTTGGGCCTATCAGACACACTATTGCAGGTGTCTGTTCCTGGAGGTCTGACAGAAGAGAAGTGTAGACTTAAGGTTAATGGAACTTCTGGGGGTTTTTTTTGTTGTTGTTGTTGTTATTGTTGTTGTTGTTTTGTGAAAGGGATCCCAAGTACTACCTCTACTTGTTTCAGCATCTTTTCTCCCTTTAGTTTGTTTCTATATATGTATTTGTTTGTTTTCTTATTTTAAATGGGCCCAGTGAATCTCTAAGATTTCAAGTGGAGAATTGAGTGATAGGGTCCCAGGAATGAATGATGGGTGTGAGTAGCAGCCATCAGGTCCAGAAGGAGAACTGAATGGGATAAGGGATCAGAGGAAGGAAGAGCAAGCTTTGTGGAGGGAAGGGTGTGAAAAGTGTCTGTATGAGATTCCTTAGATAGGACTTGCCTCCAAACAGACCACCAGCCTTCTACCCTGAATCTGCTTCAGGGCATTCCTATCCACCAGGCTCCCTATTCTAGGAGAAGCCTTGACTCCTGGAAGGCTCCTCCCATTGGGCTGGATCCGGTAGGGCAGGATGTCCTTCTGCATATACCCACCTCTCCTCATCCTCCAACCTGACATGAGTGTGCTGAGTGGTGAAGTGGTTCAGGAAGCTTGTAGCCCTCCTTCCCTGACTCATGGGCTGTGAAAGCAGTGCATGCTTAGGGCCACTGGAGCCTCCTGGCATGCTGTGCTTCTGCTCCTCCCTCTGGACCAGGATAGCTAGCAGCCTAGGAATGTTCTGCAGTCCAGAGGGAGGGTCAAGCCGGGCTTAGTTAGGGCTAGTTTGGACAAAGTCACAGTTGCCATGGGCAACTTAGACATAAAAATAGGGAAATCAGAAGACAGACTTTCCAGTGGAATGAGGGAAACACATGCTCACTGCAGGGTAAATGGTATTGCCTTACAGAGCCCGGAAGAGAGAGTGGCTGAATTATTCTGAAAGAACTCAAATGGCATCCAGAAAGGAGTCCTTCAGCGAGGTCTGTGCAGAATAGAGGCAGTGTGTTGTGGAGACAAGTGTGGGTGAGCTTCTGGGCAGAGAACAAAAATTATGCCAAATATCCATTAGGTTATGGTAGGACTGGGGCTCACTGGGTTTACTGTCTCTGTCATACTTCTCCACCCTTCTTTAGAAGTATAGCCCAAATGTTGCTTTAGCAACCATGAGGGATATCTACTTTCACCATCTGGCTGGGCTGTTGGGGCCATCTGGAGCCTATCAATGACAAGATACATAGGGATTGAACCCCAATGTTTTCTTTTTTTCTGTTTCTATTTTCATTATTCCAGAAGAGCAGGTCAGGGGTATGGATTCAGGTTAGGAGAGCAGCTGTGATGAACTTGCCTAAGATATGGTGTGCTTCTGCACCTGCCTCTGAGCCAGGCCAGCTGGCATCCTAAGCAAACCTGCCCTACCCTTTAAACCATTCCCAGCCCATCATGTACCCAGACTTCTGCCAAGGTCTAGGTTGGTTTTCTGGGCCTGGTGAGGAGGATGGGAACAGACCAGGAAGCCGGGAGAGTCATTTTCATGGAATTTGACCTAAAGCAGGATTGGAAGGGAAGAAAAGAATTTGAACAAAAGTGCCAGCAGGAAGGCGCTGTTAACGAGCCTTTCTTTCTCTTTGGGGACAGAGCAGAGCGCATAGCGGGGCGCAGCCGCCAGCTCTCCTCAGAGCCGCTCTCTGAGGCAGCTGCAGTCTCTGGCCGCTGCCTGCTCTCTCTCGCTCTCCTTTTTTCCCTCTCCTCTTTCTCAGCTCTCTCTATTATGGGGACTTGCTCCAGCTCTTTCTCTCTCTTCTGTCTCTCCTTTTGTTCTCTCTTTGTCTATTTATCACACTGTGAAGGTTGAAAGAGATGTTATTAATCTGGGAGAATGAAGGCAGGATTAGTGGTATGAATCGGATTTTGAGAGGTGTAATGATAGAAAGACTCGCTCGGCTGGCGGCCTGCGTGAGCTTGATAAATGGGGAGCACTCCAGACTGACTCGCGCCTTCCTCCGCGCTGTGTGCCCTGCCCGCTGGGGCGTGCCGCGCTCTCAGATCTGCCAGCCGGCCCACCCCGCTCCTACCTGAACCAGAGCAAAAAGCCAAGGGTAAAGCAGACACAAATATCTCCCATCACACTGGGAGACATCATTGCTTTTAGCACCCTTTTTAAGTGGAGGCCTGTCGAGTTCTCAGACTGTGGGCAGAGAGAAGGAGGCCTACACCTAAGGCTGGAACAGCATGTGCCTGCTTGTAGACTTTCCATCCTGCCTCAGAAATGGCTATCAGAGGTCAGGGAGCCAGTAATAGGGCAGTTCCTGGATTAGCCAGGAGTGCCAATGCATATGTGATAAGTGATTAAACAAAGTACTGTTGAGAGTATTGGGTCTGGCAGTTGAGATGAGAGAGGAGGAAGAGGAGGAGAGAAGGTAGAGGTGGTGGTGGTGGTGGTGGTGGAGGAGGAGGAGGAGGAGGAGGAGGAGGAGGAGGAGGAAGAAAAAGAAGAGAAGGAGGAGGAGGAAGAGGAAGAAGAAGAGGAAAAGAAGAAGAAGGAAGAAGAGGAGGAGGAGGAAGGAAAGAAAGAAAGAAGAAAGAAGGAAGGAAGAAGAAGAAATAATTAAGAAAGGGACTCCCTTAAAGTAGTGCCCTAGCAGACAGTTCGGGGGTTGGAGAGAGTGAAAGGTGAGTGTTCTGATAGGAAAATAGCAAAATAAACCTGGCTCCTACTGGAAGTTGAAGCCCCTCCAGTATGGTGAACTTCATATCAGAAAGGAACTTAGAAAAATCTAGTAATTAGGTTCCTTGTTTCCAGGGAGGAAATTGAGGCCAAGGACTAGTGTTATTATTTCCTATTTATATCTTCTTGAAGGTTTTTGTTTTTTTTTTAATTTTGAGACAGGATCTCTCCATGTGGCCCAGGCAGGTCTCAAATTCTTGATCTTCCTGCTTCAGCCTCCTGAGCATCTGGGGTTACAGGCACATGCCACCACATCTAGCTCAGTTAGTTGAATTCTCTCCGACAATGGAAAGCCCTTAGATGGCCTTAGGGAGGGGTCAAAAAACCCTTGACGTGTCTTTTGAAGCCTTGCCTGGATGTATCACCTGCCTCCTTATCAGCTATGTTTCATACTTGCTTTATGTGCTTCAGGGATGCCAGCTTTGATTTGATTTGAGTCTTTCCTACTGCTGAGATCTTAGCTTGACCCAAACATACCCCCCACTTCCCACACCCAGTCAGTTTCTGCTTGCCTGTCTTGGGGGAAGTATTTCTCAACTAGGTCAAGCTCTTCTCTTCTGTCCTGTCTTGACTTCTTGTATTTCTTTTTTGAGCCCTTCTTATAGCCACAACTTAGTGACCATTTATATTGGTATTTAGTTAACATCTGCTTTCTGAGGACTACACTGTGTCTATATTGCTGTATGAGCATGTATAGCCTAACATATTGTAAATGAGTTAGTGTGGTTTCCAAGGCCTGACTAAAAACAGTGAAAATTGAGTTGACAAAGGGAGGTACGGGGACTAAGATGTTGAGTGTGTTTCAGAGAGAAGGTTCTTTGGACTTTAGCTCTGGAGGCTCCAGTGTTCAGTCTTCTCATCTCAGCCTTCGTTTTTTCAAGCATATAGAAAAGCGCTTCATCTGATTCTATGGCTTCACTCTTCTGTGTGATATTATCCATCCCCAGTTTCACCTGTCATTCAACTGCCTTCTTAAGACATTCTTGTCTTTACTCAGATCACTGAACTGAGTAATACCTGGCTTGTATGGCACCTTACCTCCTATGTGTCCCACTGTAGGCCATCTGGGTCCTTGCCAAAGCTTTCTTTCCTGACTTCATTTCTCCCCTGGGGTTCTTGCAGGATGTTGACCTCTGCTACATTGCTTTGCAAATGTGGTTAATAAGTCTCCCTTCTAGCTTGAGTTCCTTGAGGGTACTGGTGTGGCCCA